TAGATTCTATAGCCTTCGTGTGGAGCCGGTATCCTCCTGTGTTCTCACCTCAAACGGGTAGAAGCACTGAGAGGCCCCGGCTTCGGGTCGGCTTGCTAAAACCACTCCAGAGAGTCCATATAATAGACCCTGTTGAGTTCCTCCATCCCCTCGGCAGCCAGACGGGGCGGAGCGTCCGGCGCCAGGCCTTGTTGAATCCTCGAGAACCGGTAGAAGGCCGGGTTCCATATGTAAGACCTAAGTGGATCCCATATGTGTAAAGTCCACGGTATAGCCTTGAGCCCGTGTTTCCCCGGCAGACTTCTGCCATTCCAAGAGGGTTATAATCACCTCCATTCTTCCATATGCACCTAAGGAATGTTCATATGTGTATTGCTTCCGAAACCTCCTTCGGGAAGGTTGGAGCTTCCGTAACGTCCCGGTTCCAAGTAGAACGGGTACGTTTTCCCAGTGTTATCCAGTCTTACTCATTGGGTAGTGCCATAGTAGCAGTAGCTGGTCCTCTTGTGCAAGCCCTGGCCTACGCCAAAAAGTAGGGGCGCAGGTGGCTTCCACAGGACACTGGAAGGGGCAGTAGCTGTGGCCTTTTGGTAGGATCCCATTTCGTCGGTCATCCGACGTGATGTTGAGAGTGACCGACTGAAAGGGAACATCTCAGTTACGTATGGTAACCCTCGTTCCCTGAAGGAGGGAATGGAGATTTCACGTCCCGTCGCCACAGCTCCTGTACCACCGCTGAGTGGCCGGGTCACCGGCTCGGCTCCTCAGCAAAAACCTGAATATGCGCTGCATCTGCTGCCTACTTATACTCACGCTGTGATCAGCAGCAGCTGGATGCAATAATCGCATGCCAATGTGCATTGGCTCGTTTAGTTTACACTCAAAGTAGATTGGTCTCTCTAAGCGAGATCCCAATTCGTCGGTCATCCGACATGACGTCTCCGTTCCCTCCTTCAGGGAATGAGGGTTACCATACGTAACCGAGACGTTCTTTACAGCGTTTGGATTGGAGCCAGTACAGTTTATGTTTTGATTTGAATTTCCAGCAACCAAACAAACTTTGAAAGTTTGGCAACTGAACGTTTAATACCTACCAGATTTCATGTTTTGATGAGATGCAGCTAAATTAAAGCCTTTTTGATAAACACAATGTCAAAAAGGTCTAAGTAACATATGTACTTTTTACGTAATATATAATCCCAAATGTGCCTGTCCAAACAGCACAAGAGTTGTCAAACAAGTAGTGAATTGTCATTGCCGTGAGATCAAGCACTTATGACTTTGCACATTTTTTTTTAAATAAATAGTGGTCAGTGCTATAGGCATGCATGAAATAGTGGTACAATATTGGTTGTCAACTGATATCAACTTTTTAATTGATCAGTAACAGCCAATATTGTATAATTTATTGTTCATGCTTATTTTCTCTTATTTTTACACGTTTCACATGCAGGGATATTATAGTGAACTAAAACTAAAACCATAAAACATTGTTACTTGAAATAAAATAAAACATAAATACCTTAAACTTAGCTTTATTCCAGCCAGTTGCCAAGGTAACATTTTTCATTTTCATTTAGCTTATCTTGATGTACTAAAATAACAAACTAAAACTGGAATAACAACTATATAGACATATTTAAAAAAGAAGGACCAAGAAAAATGATAAAAATAGACAACATTACTAAAACTTTTACATATAAATTAAAATAGAAAACAGAAAAATAATAACTAATTCAAAATATGAATAAAAACTATAATAGTATTTCAATGATACTATTACTAATGCTGTCATTTAATCCTTATTCAAATGCTTTTAAATTTTTTAAAAACACAAATAATTTAATAACACTTAAATTATAAATGTAATAGTTAGCCGATCTCAAAATTAATATTAGTTTTTCTTACTGTAAATGATAATTGAGTGATGCCTAAATTCACTTGTAGCACAATGTATAGCTAGCATTTAAATTTTTGTATTTTATTTTAAAATGATTTAGATAAAATTGTATAGAATTTTAATATCATCTATTTGTTGGTCATCCATCATAACATAAATATAAAATCAGGCCAGAATTGTAATATTCATTGCATCCCTACTGCACCATCTACACACAGTATGTACATTTTAGTCAAACACATTAAAAACCAGTATGAGTCCACCATAGTTATGCATGATATTTATAGTTATAAACTAATGTTAGAGGTGTGTGTGTGTTTTTTTGGCCAGTATTGTTTAAGCTATTGTACATGCTGTCATCTAATGCTTATCTTTGCTGTCATCTAATGCTTATTTAAAGTACATAAAAAATAAAAAATAAACGCTAATCATTTGAAAACACTGTTAAATGTAATCTCAAAATTAATATCCATTGATTTCATACTAAACATTATAATGTTGTGATTGTTGTTATTGTGGTTTTTAATGTATTTCGACAAATATAAGTGTAGAATAATGAGCAGCTTAACAGCATTGGCCATGATATCAATGCATTCCTACTGCACTGGCTATATATGTATGTCTTAATCAAGCATATTAAAAAATCCAGTCTGAAGTACAGTGAGAATTTTGTTGAATTTCCTCCTCGTATCTCGCATCATAATGGAATTTTCCATGAGGTAGCAGAACAGAGCAGAGAGCTCTGGAATGTGAGCAGGATGGGACTTGCCTTCTTTCCTTTGGAATCCTACCTGCAAGAACCAACTCCATTTTAAAGCGCCTGACTGGACTGAGGTTTATTGGACCTCAGAGCCCCATTTCATGTTTCATTAGAGTCCTAATTATCTGTCCTCCTAATTACACCACCCCAGATTTCAAACCAAAGCTCATTTGTGTCATAGTGAGAGACGATTAACACAATCCTCATAGAATGTTGAACAAATCCCCCAACACAACATGGAGCACTTCACACTCTAACCTCAGCATGTGATGCAAGATAGTCCTGTATACGTCACTCAGAGCTCTTCATTATCATGATTATAATTGTGGAACATCATATTTAACTAACAAAATAGCATGAATCGCTCATTACACAGATAAACACAGATGAGGACTCGCGATGGGTTTATTTAATGACGATCAAACCATGTAGATCCATGTAATCTTGTGAAGAGATAAGGAAACGTAACAATAGAAGAGAATTTATGAATAAATGCACGTTCAGAAAAGAGAGAGAGAGTGTGTGTGTGTGTGTGTTTGGATTGCTATTTAGGGCGCGGAATACATCTTCTCTGCTTGAAGACCATTAAAGTTTTTCCTCTAGAAATTCAGTTCACACTTTTCCTGTTGCACTTTTGTACCCGCAACCCATAATACAGAGATCGATGCAGGCTCATAGCGATTCTGAACAACTAACGGCATTCTGCACAGTGCAGAGGTGGCACACGAGATGCTGGTTTATTGTTATGGGGCCAGGGTTCAGGCCGTTATGTCACCGGTCTGGACTGAAGAACAACACCTGATACGTCTCCGGCTTTGTTCACAGCCTGGAGCTCTGATGAAAGTTCAGGGCTCGTCAGCTTACTCATTCTCTGTCTGCGGCGGCATCGCTGTGAAAGGTCTTTCCAACAGTAATGGAGCTGAATTTAAATCTAATAGGTGTGCAGTGTTTAAACCAAACTTTTCGCCTTAGCTATTATCCTTCTGTTGCTGTTATTGGAGATCTGATTTGTTTTATGTTTTAGAGATTCTGAGAGATTACTGAAATGAATGCCAACGTCTTTTAAACTCTTAAATGATGAAAAATGTAGGGAAGTCTGAGTTTTTTTATCTACTAAAGGTCAAATTGTGTTTGTAATAATAGATATATTTTCTCTTCTTTACAGGGTTCAGGCCGTTATGTCACCGGTCTGGACTGAAGAACAACACCTGATACGTCTCCGGCTTTGTTCACAGCCTGGAGCTCTGATGAAAGTTCAGGGCTCGTCAGCTTACTCATTCTCTGTCTGCGGCGGCATCGCTGTGAAAGGTCTTTCCAACAGTAATGGATCTGAATTTAAATCTAATAGGTGTGGAGTGTTTAAACCAAACTTGTCGCCTTAGCTATTATCCTTCTGTTGCTGTTATTGGAGATCTGCTTTGTTTTATGTTTTAGAGATTCTGAGAGATTACTGAAATGAATGCCAACGTCTTTTAAACTCTTAAATGATGAAAAATGTAGGGAAGTCTGAGTTTTTTATCTACTAAAGGTCAAATTGTGTTTGTAATAATAGATGTATTTTCTCTTCTTTATGTTTGAATTAATATTGATTTTTCATAACTGGGTATTGCTGTGACGTTACTTATTTTGAATGTCTCAAAAGAAGATCTGACTTTGGCTTGCAGAAAATTCCAGAATATCTATTTTTTTGTGATTGGCATGTGTGCTTGCTTGCATTTCAGTCAGTGAGAGTCACAGTAGCGCCATCTCTTGGTGTGCTTCTGAAGTTGCTGTGGCATCTCTGCATTCAAGATGATGACTGCCTTGGAACAAAATATGAAACAATTTTGGATATCTTTGCTGTTTTATTATGTAAGTAGGCTTTGTTGTGTCTGATTATGTCTTATACATTGCCAGTCGTATTACATTTCTTATTTCTCTTTCTATCTTAATCTCTCTTAATCTCTCATCATTAGTTTCTTGGGGAGAAGCCATTAATAGCCTATGGGAACCAGTTTCTGCCTCAGAGTTAAAAAATTAAGGTAATTTTGACTTTATATCTGACTTAATTTATTATAATTGCTAATTCTCAGAACTGTAACTTTAAAAGTTGCAGTTATTTTATATCCTGTAATTGCATCTGTTTCTCACAATTATGACTATATTCACACTTGTGAAGTAAGTTCTCATAAATGCATATATATATCAATTATTATCACACGATCATGATTTTATTTCTCATAATTGTGATGTTTCATAGTTTATTTTATATAATTGCGACTATATAACCAAATTTCTTGTAACCGTGAATTATATTTGAATTATTATTGTGAATTATATTTTACTTTTGTTACATTAATTCTCCTAAATGCAGATTTATATGTCATAATTGTGTTTTTTATATCCAGGAATCGCACTTATGCATTGACTGTTTCTCATAATAACAACTTTATATATCACAGTTGCAACTTCCATCTCCTGAAAATCTTGCATTTATAAGGAGACTTTTTTCTCTCATAATTGTGACATTTGTGATGGTAATTCTTGTGAATATATATTTATCTCACAAATATTTTATCACATAACTGTGATTTTATTTCTCATAATTGTGGATGTTCTCACTGTTCCACAATTGTGATTTTTATATCATAATTCTGACATAATTTCTTGTAATTGTTTATGTATATCTCACAATTGTGACATTAATTCTCCTAAATGCACTTTTATACATTTTTTTATATATAATTGTTTTTAACATAAAAACAATTATTTTTCTAAATGCACTTTATATGTCATATTGTTATTTTTATATCCAGAAACTGCACTTTATATCTTACAACTGTGGCTATTTTTCACAAATGCAACTTTCCATCTCCCAAAAAAAGATCATTTAAACCATCTCCTAATTACCTTTTTTATTTTTTCCTATAAGGTGGAGAGGAGCTTCCATAATAACCCAAATAACTAGCCTAACTTGTTGTTCTGAGAACATAACCTGCTGAGTCTCTCATGCTTCTGATGACTGCGCATCAGTCAGACAAATTAGCTACGGCTAACAATGTTGATGTAAATACTGTCTGAATACACATTACTTTTTTCGAATGACAGGCAAATTGACAAAGCGAGCTGCTTTCCTCCACTCGTAATGAAAAAAAATGATCAATTAACAAGCAGAGATGAATTCTCTCCTCTGCAGTTGCCATAGCTTCAGAGCGGAAGGATTTCTCATGTTAGGGATGTTTCATAATGTGGAGTCTGGTCTAATTAGAAGCAGATAATTTCTGTTGTACTAATTGTAGTCTTTAGTAATTAGTGAAGGAGTTACTTTAGAGACAGTTGCTCAAAGATTTGTTTAATATGGTGCCCATTAACAAACTTGAAAGCAGAGTTTCTAATTAACAACTTTACAGCTTCTAATTCAAGTGCTGTCTGTGCTATCTGATATATAGTATTTGCCTGCAGTCTTTCCCATCAAGCTTGCAGGTAATCAGCAACATTAATTCTGCTGTGTGCAGCGTTTTAATTGAACTATCTATTGTGCTAAGGAGATTTGTGCGAGTTGGCTATAGTGTGCCTTAGCGTTCTCTCCCTCACCTGAGCGAAAGACATCTGTTATATAATGAGCATAATAACATAATATGTTGCATGTGACCAATTAGTGGCTGCCCACATGTTTGCGAATGTGCTAAATGTGTCTTCTAAACATCATACAGATGTTTAACTAGAGCAAAGCTATACTGTTTATACTGTATACGGTTTTATTTTTAAAATGTCTGAAATCGTATGCATTATGCAATGATAAACGTTTCAAACATTTAGTTTACTGCATTATCGATCTTAGCATGCTTGTTTAATCAAGTAATTGGTGTTTGGGTGTCATTTCAGAAACAAATATGATTGTTTTGCATTTTTAATAAAACATTTTAAATTGCTTACAGTGATATTTCAAATCCAGTTCTTTCATTACACTAGATATGGAAGATCAAGTCGAATGTGTTGCTTCATAGGATACAAGACTCTATGTCCAAAAATACATACTTTATAAATACGTACAAACTTTTAAATTCTATTAAAAAGTAAGAGAAAAAAACAGAGAAGTTTTTTTATTGCAATAATATTTCACCATAAAACTATTTTTACTGTATTTATGAACTAAATTTTGCACTTCATCAACTAAAATTTCTAATGTCAAAAAACAGATGACATTTATTTAGAGTAAAACTTGCTAAAATTAATCAGCATGACTTGACAAAAAAAATACTAAATTGAAAGGATATTTTTGCAAAAAGATAAAAACGAAAAGCTATCAAAATTAATTTTGATGAAAATTCCGATTTGCAATAATATATTATAATATATTAATATTGAAAATATATGATATAAATGTAATATAGAGAATATATTATTAATCTGTAATAACTTTTCACAGTTTCTACTATATTTTTGACCAAATAAATGCAGCCTTGGTGAGCATAAGAGACAATAACATTAAAAAATCCCAAATTTTTGAATGTATATATTATAAAAATGTACTTGAAGTAACCTTTCTGACTGTAATTTTATGTACAAAAATGCTGAGACATTTTTCAAAATACCTTGTTTTGTGCTCCACAGAAGAAAGAAAGTCATACAGGTTTGGAACAACATAAGGGTGAGTAAATGATGACTGAGTCTTTATTTTTTTGGGTGAACTATCCCTTAAAGTAAGACCTTCACTGACCAAGCAATGCACTCTGGATGTGTGCTGCAGATTTTGGCAAATGATGTAGAAAATGGACATACTGTGCGCAGTACATACTGCAAAGATTTTCCACATCATGTGGTAGCATTTCATTTTGCACATACGACAGGATGCTATCGTCATACCTTAACACTGCACACTGTCTGTATGATTAGATCCCACGCTAGCCTGCACTTCCTCCTGCTCTATTTATTGCTCTCAGCTTGCCTCTCGTCTTGGGTGGTGAAGCTCAGAGAAACTCAGCCAGCACGCCTCCAAAAACAGCAGAGGAGATTAGCCTCCATTTACTCCTCAATCAGCTCCCACTTTGTCCGGACTCTGACATGCAATTTGATTTCATCTTTGCCTCACGCTGGCGAGTTTGCACCTGAAGTCTGCCTCCAATTAAGATGGAGGTGCCGGGGACGCGTCAAGTAAGCAGACTGAGAATTATGGGATTTCACAGCGTATTCCAGCTTGGCTAAAATCCCTTCCTCTCTACAATGATCAGAAAAGAGTGCTGCCTTCTTGTTCATCTGCTTGATAGTGGCACTTTTCAGCACACTGTGTTAATGAGAGCACATGAATAAAGAATAAGATGGATGCCACTAATCCTGACAAAAAAGTAATCAGCTATTCAGGAGCGAGAGGGAGACTGAGAGAGAATCTCTTGATTGCTTTTGCTTGCAATCAACAAAAACACAGAGATGCCAGTGAGTCAGATATTGAGTGATTGTTCTGGACCTGCTCCTAATGAGAGATTTTTCTCACTGCCTGCAGAAACCGAGAGATGCCAGAACAAAAGAGGGAGGGTGTGTTGTTAAGACCACTTAGTTGAAGAGTTGCCGCATGTGTAATGAAGTAATGAGTTAATCTGACCTAGAAGTTTTTTCGTCACCCGCAAAGCATGTGTGTACCAGTTTAAGTATTTTGATTAGAAAAAGGGTCAGTCTGAGGTTTAGCAATCATGCATGATCGCTGATATTAGACATAAACGTGGTGGGATGCAGGGAATTTGCGAATGGCTTGTGCATTTTCTTGGTTAGGAGTATAGTGTAAATATCGCTTGAAATGATAGAAATGACTTTTTTTTTGTTCATATTACTCCACTTGTCTGTGTTTTAATGTTCCAGACAGACAGTCAGTCTGTGTGCTATAGTGGTGGGGATTTTTCAGTCACTCTTTCTGCAGCTTATACACAGTAGTTATGCCAGTAGGTGGTGACAAGTGACTTTATGAGTGAATCTTTGACTCATTCACTCAAGTGATTCTTTCAAAAACAGTGTTTCTGTTACGATCACCAGCTGGAGTGCCCTTGAGCTCCTCTAGAGGGCACTCCACCCCAGAATGTTGTCACTCCCTCACTAACTACATTCCACATAATCCTTTGCCTGGACTCATCACTTATTGCATTCACCTGTGCCTTGTTACCTTCATCAGTCTCACCCTATTTAAAGCCTGATTTTTCACACATTAATTGCTCAGTATTTTCTAGCCTGTAGTGTTCCCAAGTTCCTGTGTTTTCCTTGTTCCTTCTTGCCTTGCCTTGTTTTTGACCCTAGGCTGTTTCTGATTGCTTGCTGCCTGCCCTGGCCTTCGCCTGTTTATTGGATTACTCTTTTGTCTCACCCTGGATTGTACCTGTTTGCTGTTGTTTGACCCTGCCTGTTTTGACCACTCTTTTGGAATAAGGCTGCATTTGGATCCTCAACTCAGTCGTCACGCTTCCTACGTTACAGTTTCATTCAGTATCTAAACAAGTGACTTTCTTTGTGAGTGAGTTACTGAATCAATGACTGAATATATCTATCTATCTATCTGTCTATCTATCTATCTATCTATCTATCTATCTATCTAGAGAGAGAGAGAGAGAGAGAGAGAGATAGATGAGTAAATACTTTGCAATTGTTATAAAAATAATCAGAATAAATCATAGCTGCTCATATCAAATTGTCTCAGTAAAATTAATGAGTGTAAAATTAATTGTAATTAATAAAAATAATTGTATTAGTACAATTTGGTTACAATTTATTAGTACAACAAAGGATGAAGCATTGTAGGATTTAAGAGTGACACAACCCTCCTTGAAAGCTTTGCCTCACATTCCTAGAGCTTATTTAAAGGACATTTAGTTCCAGGTCCTTTTTGGTGTGTGAAGAGGAAGATTATGTTACCTATCTATACTGTGAAGGAAGGACAAAATTAGGTCCCTTTCTGGCACTTTTATATGGCGACTTTTTGCTAGCGCTGCAGAAAATTGGATTCTCTGCAACTTTTGAAAGGTTCAAATGCTACGTGCTCTGGGTTTGCCTCATACGACCAGA